CTCACCCTGTCCTGAGCAGCCTCCAGGGCCGGGCCTGGCCAAGAAGGGACTGGCTAATGGGAGCAGCGGTTGGGAGCCAGAGTCAACTCAAGTAACCACAGCAGGCTCCTTGCAGTGAGCAGGGCTCTCTGCTCCCCGACGCCCGTCCTAGACATTAGCCAGGGCCCCCCTGCCCAGTGCCTGGCTCCCAGTCCCATGCTCAGCCCCCGCTGGGCATCTTGGCTGGACTCTGGCTTTGTGTGGCTCAGGGTGGAGGGACATAAACGATCCCACGAATGCCAACCGTGGCATCAAAGGCGAGTGCTGAAGGCAGCTGGGTTTCCTGTCCCCTCCACCCTGTGAGTTCCCTGGATGGGCTGCTGGAAAGGGCAGCGTGGTTTGTTTATGAGGCCAGCCCGTGGCCACGAGGAGCTTAAACACACACTCGTTGCTTAGATACCCCCATGCTGCTGGCGAGGTGCCTGGTAAACACCAGCTGGCCGGGGTGCAGGGCTGGGGCGCTCCCATGGCACCCACTTCGTGAGCCTTCGGGCTGGGCCCTGTTGACTCTCGCCTGGCACGCACCTCGCACAGCTGGAGCTGGAGGCTGGGTAGCGGCAGGGAACGGAGCCATGGTGCAGCAGCAGCTGGCTGGCAGGGCACGGTCTGGTTCCCCAGCTGGGGGATCCATGAGGCTGGGGAATCACTGTGTCCTTGCAAACTAGACCAGGCGAGTCCAGAGCAGCCTGCACCAGGCAACTGACCTAATCCACCTTTCCCAGCTCTGGGCTGTTAATATGTTACCAGAGCCACTGATAACAGTCAAATCCTCCCCACTTCCCTTTTCTGCCCTTCCCCCATAGGGCTGGGGGTGAGGTGGGATGTGTGGGTCACTCTGGGGCGGGCAATGCAGGGGCACGTGTCCGCTAGCCTAGTTTGCTTGCCGGCCTGGAGGGTTTAGCTGGGTGCAGTCAGCTCGTTACTGACTCAGATCTGGGCTTTTGGAAAGGGGAATCCAGAAATCGGTGGGGCCCTGGCTCCCAGCCCCCTGCACGGTGGTTAGAGCAGGGCCCCTGGGGTTACGTGGGGCCTGAGTTGAGTCTGGTTTGCCTGGCCAGGGCCATGGCTGGTTTAAAGATTTCCAAGTGCACAGAAAACATAGCAGCCATCGTTGGTGCGGCCCCGAGAAGAGAGCGGGGGTGAGCGCTAAGCAGAGATAGAAGAGGGGTGGGCAGCGGGGGGTGCTGAGCGACGCTGGGCAGTGTCGGAGCACGTCCCCTCTGGAGGGGGGCCCCGAGCCTGGGGTCTGTGACCCTGGCACCCACGCCCCTCTCAAACCTTTACAGTGTGGCAGCCCCAGAGTCTGACCCAGCGGGCCCTGCTGGGTGAGGGGCTCACATGCTGAGTGAATGCCAGCCCCTGTGCCCCGTGGCTCAGAACCACAGGAAACCCACCAACTCCCACTGCTGGGCTTGTGGGGTGGATCATGGGGTTAGTTCCAACCTACTCCCCCCCCCCGAGCACAACCATCCGCGCCACGGGCCGCCCACAACGGGGAACCGGGGTGGCCGGGCAGAGCCCAGGGGAGATGCTGGAAGGGCCTGTGTGCTTCTTCCAGTAGGGCTGGTGCTATAGCAATGGCTGTGGGGTGAGGGGGCAAACCCAGTGTAAACCCTGAGCTGCAGCTAACCTGCAGGAGGCAGGGAAGGGAAAGTCAGAGGCTCAAATCATGGCTAAGAGGAAAGCAGCCCCCTGCCCAGCTTCATGCCCTTCCTTTACAGACCAGAGGCTGCTGCCCCCTGACCTCTCCGGGCAGGTCTCACTGCTGGGAGGGACCTTCCCAGCCCCACTTCAGCTCTTCTCTCAGCCTCTGCCCCCAGGGTTACTCATTAACCTGAACACGGTCTCTGAGCAGAGAGCAGCCCAGGGGGAATCAAGCCAGCAGCCGTGAGGGGGCAGGAGAGAGCAGCCCAGGGGGAATCAAGCCAGCAGCCGTGAGGGGGCAGAGAGCACACACAGTGACCCCTCGCACCCGCAGGAGCACTCCTTCCACCACGGGACTGGGAGAGTGACAGGGCCGTGGGGGAGCGCGGGAGGGCCCTCGGGTGGGTGACAAGTGCCTTTGCAATGGCATGTGCGCACTTGGCAGGCTGCGTGAGTGTGCCAGGCAGTGTGTGCACAAGTGTGTGTGACAGCAAGGGTAAGGGGGCAGGCCAGAGCGTAGGTGGTGCAGGCGTGTGAGCAAGTGGCAGGCTGTGCACGAATGTGCGGGGGTGCAGTAGTGTGTACCTGCAGCGCCAGGGTGTACAGCTGTGTGGGGATGTCCGTTGTGCAAGGCACCACACGCGTGCGCACACACGCGCATGCTTGGATGTGCAGTCGTGGGCTGGCATGCCCAGTCCACAGACAGCAGACTGCAACCCTTGCTCTGAAGCTGCCTGGGAGGTGCCGTGCCCAGGGCCCCAGCCTGGTCCATGCCCCTCCAGGCTGGGGCTGGGAGATGAACTGAACTCAGCTAATTCCCTGGCTTGAAGAGCCACCAGTCACAGCCTTGCTGCTCCAGAGCATTTGATTGCAGCTCCCACCCTGCATCCTTGAGCGAGGCTCCCCGGTCCCCTCTGTATGCCTGGGAAACGTTGCCCCTGGGGCCTTTCCGGGCTGAGGGCCCCATGCTGCGTTCAGGCTCCAGGAACGGCCACCTTTCCCTGCCCTGTGCTGGCTGGGGTCCCTGCCCACCACGGGCCATCCTGATACACCCGCGGCCTGGGTAGAGGAGGCTCTCACAGGGGCCTGCACCGAGATCAGGGGCCAGGGCTCACTCAGTGGGGCTGGGTCTGTGCCACCAGCAGCCAGGCACCTGCAGGCTGCACCTACCCTGTTACCGCCAAGCTGCGGCTCATGGAGACAGCAGGTCCCTGCCCCTCCTCAGCCTAAAGAGCCTCGGCCCAGAGCTGGGCCATGAGCCGAACCCCAGCTGTCAGCCTGCCCCCAGGCAGCCCCCTCCTCTGCTGCCCCAGGCCCAGCAGAGCCCCGCTCTAGCTCGACGAGCCTGTTTCCTGCCAGGGCTCCTCTCATCTTGGTGCAGCAGCTATTAGCAGCACAGTCGGACCTTGTATGCGCCAGGCTGATGTCGCCTCCCTCACCCATGCCTGGTGCCCTCTGTGCTCTTACTCCCCTAGGCCTGGCAGGTCTGCCCCGCAGCCTGAGGGGGAGGTGGAAGCTGCTCCTGACCCAAGGCCCTGCTGCCTGCCGAGAAGGGGTGGGTGCTCCATTGTCAGCATGTCCCCTGCTGGCATCGCGCCCAGGAGAGCTGGGGTGGAGCAGCTGCCCAGGGTTCTCGCCGCTGCTCCCTGCCCTGCGAGGGCTGCGTGCTGTTGGCAGCAGTGCCCTGGTGAACGCCACACGCGGAATGGCCGCCCACGAGCCCCTTGGCCACCCTCCGGGCAGAGAGCTTGGAGACAGAAAAGCCCTCTTGGGTCTCGCCTTGTGTGGCCCCAGGCCCAGCGCAGGGCTCCTCCTTTTGGTCCCAGCTGATTGTTCCTGGCTCTGGCATTACAGGGAGGGGCCCACGGGCACGTCTCAAACATGGAGCCAATGGCAGTGGAGCCCTTTCACCCAGCTGACCTGCCCAAGCCTGAGCCCCGACTCCAGCACAAAGCCGTTAAGGGACTTGCCCCGGGGAGGGAACCCAGGCCAGCTAACCTGCCCCACCGCCCGGGGTGCCCGCGTCTCAAGGAGGAAGAGGTTGCAGGCTCCCGCGAGCCCTGACTGAGGAGCTCCAGGTGCTAAATAATTCATGGAGCCGCTATTTGCTCAGGTTCCCACTTCCTGCCTGGCAGGAAAATCACTGCAGAAGGGGAAAGACAATCCGGGCAGGAGAAACCTCACCTGACCTTGGGACGTCCTTTACTACCCTCCCTCCCCCAGCTGGCTGGCCCTATCGCCCGCCCCAGGGACACAACATGCAGCCAAGCAGCTGCACCCGCCTGGCACTCTGGGGCTCCAGTTCAGAACATGCATGAGAACCGCCAGGGGAATGAGTTTGATAGGTCTCAGCCCCGCATGCACTTCATGCACTTGGCTACAGTCTCTGCTCTGCAGACAGGCACAGCGGGGGGAGCTGAAGGTCAGGAGTGAGGGGCATCAGCAGAGCCATAGGGATGGGGAGCCCAGGGCAGGGATACCAGGGGGCTGCAGGGCAGGATTAAGGAGGAGAGGCAGAGTGGGGGGGGCAGGGCTGAGGAGTGCAGAATGGTGGTTGGGAATAAAGAGGAAAATTGGGGAAGGCTGGAGAGGACCCTGCCTCCAAAAAAAAAAAAAAAAAGCCAACCCACATTGTCCAGGCTCCCTGGGAAGGGCTGGGACACCCCGTTTCCTTATAACCCACGGCAGGATCCCAAAGCTGCCACCTGACTCACCCACATTCCTCCTGCTGCAGCCCAGCCCCTGCGGGGCGGCCCAGGTAGCAGAGGCGGAGGGCAGGTGCCACGCTCGTGGGAATGAGGCCGAGCTGTGCTGGGAAGGGACGTGCTCGGCGGCACCGCGACTCCAACCCACGGAAGGAACAAATCAGGCCGTGGGCCCAGTGCTTCCTGCAGGGGAACAAGACAGCGAAGGCAGGAAGCTCCGCGGGGTTTACAACCGGCCCCGGGAAAACTTCGTTGACTGGATTAATTCCATTAGGGCAAAGCAGGGGCTGTCGGAGGCTGCGGAAGGCTGCCCCTGGAAGGGTGATTTCCCCTCAGCCCCTTGCTCCAGACACTTGTGTCAGCAGGGCGGATTCAGTCTGGCCCCCTGAGCTCCAGCCACCTATTTACTGGGTGGGAGCGAGAAGCAAATCCCCCAGGCTCTAACCAATTTCCCCCTCCTCCACCCAACTGGCCTGCAAGACGTCCCCATTCCCTCTCCCACTCCCCCCCAAGACGACCTACACGTGCAATGCGCCCCCACCCCTCTGTTCCCCGTCTATCCAACCGCAGCTCCCCTCTCTGAGCTGGACAGGGACCGACGACCGCGCCGTGTAGGGAAAATCAGCTTTATTCTGCACACACAATGACCGAAAAAAAGCCAAAAGTCACCTGAAAAGAAAAAGGGACAGTTCTGCGCTGGGGGAGGGGGAACAACATCTGAGTCAACAGCTCGCTGGCTCCAGCACGAGCGCCCCCCTGTGCCCCTGCACCCCACCGTGGCTCTGGGTGCAGCTGAGCTCAGTGCTCCATACGCAGCCCGGGGGAGGCTGATCCCTGTTCTCAGCGGCACTGGGGTGATCCCGGAACGCCGCTGCTGACACCGATGTGGACTCGCTCCCCCTGGACGCTGGGGCGAATGAGAGCAGAATCTGGCCCTTTGCATGTCAGAGCCCAAAGATGGCCGAGGGACTGGCCACGCCCACATCATCCAATATATTTGTTTGCAGGATAGTTTAAAAAACCAAATGATCTCACAGTCCCTGAAGGAAGGCCCTGAGTGCGTCGCTCTCAGAGGCTGGAGAAGAGGCCAGAGAAGAGGCCAAAGGGTTGTTCAGAGGGGGGAGGGGCAGCTGCTGGATCTCTGTCTTTCCCCACTCAGTCTCCTCCTCCCCCCACACCATGGCCTGTTTCTTGCCTCTGATCTCACTCTGCGCCAGGAGATCACTTGCCCTCTCCGCAGCCAGCGGCATGGGAAGCGGATCTGTGCCATCATCCCCACTTGGCGGATGGGGGAAACTGAGGCACAGCAGGAGTCAGGGCTGGGGTGAGAGCTGTGGTGCTGCTGGCTCCCCAGCCTGCATTCTGACCCCAGCCCCACAGCTCCATGCCTATGGTGGAGGAGGGAAGGGATCCCGGGACGGCTGAAGTCAAGAGGAAGCCCTGGGAGGCCACAGCAGGTCTCAGAGCATCTGGCTGGCGGCGCAGGGCGCTCACAGGGTGGGAGGGGGACAGGACCCCAACCCCAGTTCTGCTCCACCTGCACATTCACACTGGTGGCAGCCCACTCGGGGGCTCCCCCACCCCCATGGGAGACTGTTGCCAGCTCCCCACACAGCACACACCCAGCTGCAGCAGCTGCCCCAAGAGTCACCACACATGTGCATGGGGCACTTGCTGCCATTCCATGGGTCCTGCCGCTGGCCCCACTCTGCACCTGGCTGGGGAGACCCCCACTCCGAGCCCCGGCTGGGGCAGGGGAACAGACAGCAGTTGCTGCAGAGGGGTCAGCCTTTACCGACAGTTCCCATACAGCAGGTCTGTGAGCAAACACGTCTATGCACCTTGCTCTCCAAACCCAGGACGGAGATGCCCAGGAGAAAGCACCACGTGGTCTCCCACGTCAGCTGGGGGGCTTCCCAAGAGAACGCCTCTCAGAGCCAGGCGGGGACCCAGCCAGAACCTGCACCAAGACGTGGTGGGGAAGATACCACACGGGCTTTGCAACAGGAAGGATGGACCCCAGGGCAGGGCCTGTGGAGGATGCCAGCCCTGGGACCCGCTTCTTCCATGCCGGGCTGAATGGGCATGGCTCCAGGGCAGGGAACGCCACGCAGCCCCTGGAGGGCCCCACACCCAGGGCAACAGCCGGGGAGATCTGTGTGGCTCTGTCCAAGGCAGGTCCCAGCCGAGACCTGCTCAGCTCAGCTCTCTGCAAGCGGAGGCTCCATCAGACAGAGGTGCTCGCCCGTCTCCCACGTGAAGCTACTGCCTTCGAAGCCTGCAGCCGCTCTCCGGCCGCAGCGACTTGTGGGTGGTTCTCCTGTATCCGGACACCGCGTGGCAGATTGTCCTGGGGCTTCAGGAGGGGACAGGGAGTGAATCGACGGAGCCAGCGGGTAGAGTGGGTGCTGCAGCAAAGCTAACGTGGCCCATGCAGCTGAGAGGTGATTCCCATGGGGACGAGGCGCTGCCAGGAGGGTGACCACTGCCAAGGGGGACCCCGGTGGATTTCCAGGAAGGGCCGTTCCCACATTTGGACCCAACCTCAGCAGCCCCTGGAGCATCCCAGCCCATAGGCAGCCTGTGTAGTCCAGCCTCCCCAGCAGGAGGATCAATAGCATAGCAGGGGTAAGGGCCAAGCCAGTGTTTAGCAGAGTCTCTGGGTTCCCTCTGGGGACGGCTGGGTGGGGAAGGAGCTGGATTTTCTCTCTTCTTCTGGGCTGGCTGGAGGCTCCAGGATCAGTTCCCATTGTTGGCCTTGGCTTGAATGTCCATGGGTGGGGAAGGAGACAGGTTCCCTCTTTGGAGGAAGGGGATCGCCGGTGATTTCTAGAGCTGCAGGAGCCAGGGCGTGCATCTCTACCATCTGCTCTTGCTGTACGGAGAGGGAGCCTACAGCAGAGAGATGGAGATCAGGGTGCAGCCAAGAGGCACAGCCGTATCTTAGACGTGGAATTCCCCTGGACATGGCCGAGTTGGAGTCAGCAGGGGTTTGTCCAATGGCCTCTCACTTTGTCACACGCCCGAGTCCGGGCCTTGGTTTAAATAAACAAACTGATTGTTCTGACAGTCTAGAAATGAGCCAGTTCCTGTCCGGGACAAAGTATCAGAGGGTAGCCGTGTTAGTTTGTATCCACAAAAACAACAAGGAGTCCGGTGGCACCTTAAAGATTTATCCCAAATAGATCGGTTAGTTTTTATGGTGCCACCGGACTTTCGTTGTTTTTGTCCGGGACAGGTCAGATCCCATCAGAAAGGCAGCGGTAAAAACCCCGCGATTCCGAGGCGGGGGTGGGGAATAGTGCACTCTATTTGCACCAGTCCTGACCCTCCACGCAAGGGAACTGGGAAATCTCATCCCCAGCTGTGGAAGGAGGGTTTTTATTCCCAGACCTGCCACTGAGGTCCTAGACCCTTCGAATGAAGCACGATCGATTTCCGATCCCTGCAGATTCCCAGGCCAGCTGGGAAGGCTGGAGTTAACAAAAGGATGCAAGGACGATGGGTCCTAGTAGCAATACAATCCCTTGGATTTACACGCAGGAGGCACTTCCACCAGGAGGTCTCCAAACACCTTCACAAAGGGCAGGGGTGTGTGTGTGTGTCTGTCTAATCCCTATTTAACAGGTGGGGAAACTGAGGCACAGAGCACAACAGTCCCATAGGGAGACCCCTGCTGTAAGCACTCGACCATGCTGCTGCAGTGGCCCAGCTGCACGTTATCACAGACCTGGACGCCCTTGCCATCTTTCTGGGCTGCTGCGTGCCAGCTCTGTGCCATGTAGGCATCCTCTGCGCGCAGGGTGGAGTTGGCACTGCTGATCACCTGGCTGTTGGCGGTGGCCCGGGGGAGAATGACGTCGTGGGTGCCTTCGGACTGGAAACAGAACAAGTGAGGACAGGGCTGAGAAGAGACCTGGCTGGCACTTTGGAGCGACTCAGCTACCCCCCAGCTTCCCCAAGTCTCCTGGGCTTGCCACCCAGCTCCACCCTAGCGCCCAGCCCCGTCCCTGCAGGGAGGGGCTCTCCAGGCACCAACAGGGACCATTCAAATCAGCTCTCACAGTCTAGGTAGAAAGTGCAGGGCCTGTCCACCCACCTCCCCCATCTGCAATGGGGCCAGGGATGCCCAGGTAGAGAGCCCCTGGTGCAACCTGCCCCCAGCCCAACCGCGTCAGGCTGCGCCCAGCTGCACCCTAATGTGACTGGAATCTGGAGCAGCTCACGGCAGGGTGCTGGGGACCGGCCTCTTGCTCAGCTCACTCCCTTCGCAGGCTGATGCCCACTGCTGCGCCCATCCACATCCCGCCTGGCACAGTCCCGGTGGGGAGGGGGACTGGGTTTATCTGTCTCATGAAGCAACCCCCCTGTGGCCACAGTGACACCTATAAAGCAGGGGTGGGCAAACTTTCTGGCCCGAGGGCCACATCTGGGTATGGAAATTGTATGACAGGCCATGAATGCTCATGAAATTGGAGGCTGGGATGTGAGAGGGGGTGCGGGCTCTGGGGTGGGGCCAGAAATGAAGAGTTCATGCTGCGGGAGGGGGCTCCAGGCTGGGGCAGGGGTGTGGGTGGGGGGTGAGGGCTCTGGCCGGGGGTGCGGGCTCTAGGGTGCAGGAGGGTGGGACTGAGGGGTTGGAGGGCAGGAGGGGGATCAGGGCTGGGGCAAGGAGTTAGGGTGCTGGAGGGGGTCAGGGGTGAAGGTTGTGGGTAGCGCTTACCTCAAGCAGCTCCTGGAAGCAGTGGCACGTCCCTCCTCCGGCTCCTACACAGAGGCACTGCCAGGCGGCTCTGTGCACTGTCCCATCCGCAGGTGCTGCCCCTGCAGCCCCATTGGCCCCATTTGCTAGCCAATGGGAGCTGTGGGGATGGCACTTGGGGTGGGGGCAGTGTACAGAGCCCCCTGGCTGCCCCTACGCGTAGGAGCTGGAGGGGGGGATGTGCCACGGCTTCTGGGAGCTGTGCAGAGACGCTTCCCGCTCCCGCTCCCCAGCAGGAGCTCAAGGACCGGATTAAAACGTCTGAAGGGCCAGGTGTGGCCCCCGGGCTGTAGTTTGCCCATCCCTGGGATAAAACCTCCGCATGAAAGTAAAAGAAGATCCCAGGCGGGGGGATTCTGGGGAACCCCAAAAAGCAAATGCCAATGGCCCCAGGACCATTTTATGACCATAGCATAACCGAGACCAGGGCCCACCGTGCCAGGCGGCTGCACAGACACTGGGTGGGAGACGATCCCTGCCCAGATGGCGTCACAGGCTGGACAGGCCAGACAGCGGGAGGGGAAACCGAGGCCCAGAGGGAGAAGTGACTTGCCCAAGGCGGCTCAGCAGGCTAGCGGCAGAGCTGGGGATGGAACATACACGCCCCGGCGCCCTGCCTAGAGATTGTGCTGCCTCGCTTGGCCACAGCCTTGTGTCTTGGCTGGAGAGCGGGGCCTGGGCTGGGACATTCTCCCGTCCTGCCCCCAGGGGATACCCAGGCAAGCGACCGCCGGCCGGCTGACATGGGGAGACCACGCACACTCGCGGTCTGACTTACGGGCCCTTTGTGCATCAGAGCCATCTCCGTGGGCTGGAACACGCTTGTCACCAGCTGACCGTTGTACCCGCTATAAGGCGACACCGGTTTCTTGGCTGAAAAGAGAAAAAGCACCAGGCCGCACTCAGAGGTGGATTAAGATTTACTGGGGCTCTGGGCACAAAGAGCTTTTGGGCCCCCCACACGCTGTGGGCAGAGGTGCTGGACCAGGGGGCCCAGGCCCACCCCTTTAACATGGGCATAGTCGCCTCGGGCAGGCGCGGAGCAGTGGCAGCAGGGGATCTGGTCCAGCTTCTTCCCGGGGGGCAGGGACACGGGTCGGGGGCTGTTTTAGGCCACCCGGCCCTCCCATCCAAGGCAGGTGGTGCGTCCAGGGCTCCCCATGGCAGTTTTTACCACCGCCCAGCTCCAGCTTCTGGCCTGGCCGGGGGTGGGGGCCCAGGGAAGAGGAGGAGCAGGGGATGGGGTCACAGTTCCGGCACTAGTGCCGCACCCCCCCCTTCTACAAGGTTCTGGCACTCGTGGGGCTCCCCAATTGGCCAGGGCTCCCAGGCACAGGGCCCAGGGGCCCATGCGTTAATCCACCACTGCCACACTATTGCGTGCGGAAGGGCGTAGAGAGACCTCTCTCCGGCGGGCGGGGACCTCCTGGCTGGACACCGGCATAGATGGCTGCGGTCGGACACAAGCCCACTGAAATCAATGGGAATGGGGCCCCGAGGTCAGTAACCTTTGGATCGGACGTACGACAAGGGGCTTGACGGAGGTGGAGACGGGACGTGCTGGTTTTCACGCTGCCTTAACAAGCTGGCAACCTTCCAGTGCTGGCAGGTGGCAGAGCCCGGGAGGCGTCACACAGACCGGCGAGCCATAGAATCACACAAACCTGGGGCTGGAAGGGCCCTTGAGAAATCACCAAGTCCAGCCCCCCATGGCAGGCAAACCTAGACCATCCCAGCCCAGGGCACTGGCTGGCTTTTGGCCGCTCCACATGCTGGTAGAACCATGTCAGTTAGGGGGTTACGGTTACACCACTACAACCCCAAGTGGGGCCGCAGTTACACGGGGCTCGAGGGGCCTTATACCGGAGTATTTTAGGGTTATACGATGGGACTGCCTGCGATAGCAGGAACTGGACTCAGGGACCCCCGTCTACTCCCATGTTCCTCTCTTATTCCCCCGTGTGTACAGGAATAAGCTATACGGGTACCAGCACCTGTGTCCCGCTATGACTACGTCCCCACTAGGAGGGCTGACCGCTCTCCCTAGACTGGTGTCATTAACGGGGTACAACTTGCGGGCGCAGACCAGCCCTACAGGTCAGAAGGCGGCGGTGAAGCAAGGATCTGTTTATGGCACAGCACCGACAAGCAGGGTTTTAATGAGCTAACTCACAAGAGGTCCTCCCACCGCAGGCGAGCAGCTGGGGGCTGGAGGCAAGGTTTGTTTGGCCTCAGTCCCACCAGCAATTAAGTCATATGCAGTCTCAACCAATCAGTGCCAGTCCATGTTATTTACGCGCAAGCAATGGTTTGTTATCGTAGGGTCACTTGGGAGCTCTGGCGGGTTGGGAGGACTGTGCATGCGTGGGAAACACAAGCCTGTTACTGTAGGGTGGCTTGCAAGCCCTTTCTTGCCTGGCTTCTCGATGGAGCTGGGTCGCTGCCCAGGTTTGTTATCGCAGGGTCTCCTGGACGCTGCTGGGCTTAGCGGGGGGAGGCTGGAAGAAATGGCAGCTACACAGTCTCATCGGGGAGGAAAAGCCCATGAAGAACACCGGGCTCTTGGCAACAGGCACAGGGGAGAAAAGGGCTCCCCCAGCATCAAGTGTCCCAGGCCAGCAAACGCAGCCTGTGTGTGGTTTCCGGAACGACAACAATTGAAGCCATTCTTTCAGACCGGTCCAGGTTGGTCGTGAGCAGGTATCTGGCTGTTCCCTCACCAGATCCAAGCGCACAGGTGGTCTCTGTCCAGGTCCTGCTGGATGGACTGTGCCACAACAAACCTTCCCACCAGGGCAGGCTGCCTGGCTGACAACTCCCTCCCAGGAGCCACGCTCTGTGCTCCACAAAGGGGTGTTTGTATTGGAGCAACCGGGGGGGCCCCCCGTCAGCATCAGGGCTCCGCGGTGCTGGGCACGCACACAGGACCCTGCCCCAGAGAGCTCGCCGCCTAACACACCAAGACACTGAGTGTAAGAGGCAATAGGGGTGAGGCGGCCGGAGAGGGGCAGGGAGAGACAGGCAGCTGCCACGGGCACAGCCTGGAGCTGCGGATTCACACAGTGGGTTTCATTAGAGGACATAAACAAACAAGTTCGATCTCACCCCTCCCCACCGGGCACAGGCCCTGCCACCCTCTGTTGGGGTGACATCAGACGGGTGGGTATAATGCCACATGTAAACCTCCCCGTGCACAGGGGTGGTGGCCTCCAGGTCCCTGCCGAAGCCACGGCTCACAGCGTGCTCTGTCATCATCATCAGCCCTATCACCACCTCCCTTGCCCTGTCCCAAATATTTGGCTGAATGGAGGTGGCGGGGAGTCCTTAGATGGAAGCTCCCCTGAGTCACAAAGGGCTCAATTTTGCCCAGCACCGAGCTCCCCCGAGAGGTGCTATGCAGCCAGCTCCCATGGAAGTCAAGCTCGGGGGAGGCAGCTCAGCACCATGCAGGGCTGGGCTCAGGGAACAGCTCACAGGGAGGTCCCCAGACCCTCCGAAAGACTCAGAGGCTGGGCTCCCATAGGACGGTGCTGTCGGGCAGCTCAAGGAATGCACATCTGTGTGTATGAGCACGTGTGCCCATGAAGGATGGACCCCCAAGTCAGCTAGAATTTGCCGCGACAGGGGTACCAGCACCCCAGCGCAAGCCCCATCTGCAGAGAGACGTACGATCACCCAGAGCCACAGCTGCCTCTCTGCCCACTGTGCCTGTGGCCCCCTTGGCCAGGGGCTCTCCTGCCTACCTGAGGATGGTTCATCCATTGAGAAGGCCTTGTTCTCCACAAACATGCTCTGGGACTTCTGCTCCTTCAAGATGGTCTCGTAGCCCACGCCCCTGGTCGGGTACATGTTGTCCTCGTAGGCCTGCTCTGGGCCCAGCCGTGTCACGTGGGAGACCTCAGGGATGATGTAGAAGAAGACAAAGACGCAGGCGTTGGCCACCAGAGCGATGGCCAGCGTGGGGTCGTCCCAGGCCTGGCCCCCCCTCTGCTGGTTCCCGTAGAGGTACATGATGATCCAGACCACCCAGATGGTCATAGACAGGAAGGTGGTGAGGAGGATGAAGACAATGTGCTTCCTCCAGTGCTTGTAGCGGCCGCAGAGGGCGGGCCAGGCGGTGGCAAAGGCGGCCAGCAGGAGGAACATGACAAAGATGAGCGCCATGACAAAGTCCTCGTTGGCCACGGCGCAGGGGTCCTGGGAGGGGCCACTGCTCCTCACCAGGGTGATGAGCAACCACTCGGCATTGATGATCACCTCCACCAGGGCCAACAGCAGGGCCACGCCGAAGGTCACCCAGCCCTGCAGCCCATGGTTCCTCCTGGCCAGGAAGTTGAGGGTGAGGGCATGGGCCACCAGACAGGAGAAGCAGATCCCGAAGAGGACCCCGAAAAGGAAGCGCCGCGAGGCGCAGGTGGAGAAGTCCTGCTTGACGATGAAGTCGAAGGTCAGGCAGAAGAGGCCAAAAGTGCCCAGGAGGAAGAACGCCTGAGTCCCCACCAGGCTCTTCTTCCTGGGGTCCTGCACAAAGGGCAGGCTGGCCACCAGAATGATGGTGAGCACGAAGCTGCTCACTGCCCCAAAGCTGGCCACCGCCTCCAGCACGATGCCCCAAGCCGCCGACAGGTCGCAGAGGTTATAGTACAGCGAGGGCAGGTCCGTGCCGCACCCAGACGGACGGGCCTCCTGAGCTTGGCACGCAGGGAGAAGGCTCAGCGGGAGCCACACAGACATCAGCAGCAACCAGGGCGTGGCCATCCTGGGCTGTCACGAAGGCACCGGGCGGGGTTCCCAAGGAGCCTGTAAAAATTGGACAGCTGGAGAAACAAGGTTGGTAACCTGAGAAAACAATTCCTCGGCCCTAGAGATCGGGACCCCCCGGGGTGTGGGCCTGGGAGCCGGGCTGGAATCTCACCAGCTCACAGCTCGCTGCTGCTGACGCCTGCCCCAGGCTGCTGGGGGTTTCCCAGGCTCTCGGGGGATCGTCTCCCTCTACCTGCCAGCAGCACCTGGCTCTTCCAGGCACTGAGCCCCGGCCTCCCTCACCTGCACGTAGCTCTAGCGTGTCCTGCAGGCCCAGGCCAAGAACCACCCGACTGCACCTTCGCTTCAAACTGCCTCAGCCCTTCCTGCCCAAATAGTTCGCTCTTCTCTGCCACTCGCTCTGTTTTTGGCAGACCCTGTAGCCCCGGGATTCACTCACTCCCCCACCTCGATCCCCGCCTCCCCCGCCTCACATTCCCCGCTCCACCCCACCCTGTCCCTGCAATGTCAGGGCAGCACTCTTCAGAATCAAGAGCCGTGACTTTAATACAATTGGCTACTTTGCCGCCCTGCCCCTCCCGTCCCACTGGAAGTTACAGCCAGCTGGAATGCTACGGTGGCCGGTTTGCACCACCGAGTTAAGGCTCCCTGGGTTTGCACCTCACCTCTCCTGGATGTGACTTGGCAACTGTGTCACCTCTCCAAAGCTAAGGAGGGCTGGCCCAGGCCGGTGCTCGGCTAGGAGACGCACCGTGCCCTAGGGGGAGAGTCAGTGGAGAACCCGGGTACGAGGAGCGCTGAAGTGCAGTTGTTTGGGTGAGATCGCTTGTGGTCACTGAAGATCACACAGCCTGGATGTCCTGGCCAAATCCCAGTCTAGGGGATTGCATCCTTCCTAAATCCCCCCCGAACCAACGGGACATAGTTTCGTGTCCTAAACAGCCCCAAGGGCTGCAGTGCATTGTTCAATGGCTGCTCTGGCTCCTCCCCAGAGGTGGCTGGGAATGATGGATTCATTCTCGTCTGTACAGACTCGAGAGGCCGCAATGCCAGCTTTCCCTGGAGACATGCGTTATCATACGGAGGAAGGGATGTTGCTTTATCCTCTCCCAGAGGAGGAAAGCGAAGCCTGCAGGGGCTGGATGACTCCAAGACCCCAAAGAGAGACAGTGGCAAATCCAGGACCAGAGTGCTCGGGAGATCCTGGTTCCCAGGCTTGTGCTCCGACTGGTTTGCCATCAGGACACACGGGGAAGTACTGGGGAAACGGACTGATCCGTCCCTTCCCCAGGCTTCAGCTACGGAGCCTTTCCTATTAGGGAGGAATAGGAGCCGCACTTAACCCTTTACACCACGGGACAGAAAGATCCCTTCACTTTCACTTGTTTCCTAGCAGGCCAAACCCAGGCCTGGGGTAAGTCATGGGCCTTGCCCCAGCTTATGTCAATGTTTGCCCCACGTACGGCAGCCTGGCGTAGAATTTCCTACAGCTCAGATACTATCCCGCACTAGGAGCTGGTTTGGCTCAGTCTAGGCTGGTGCCATTTTTCTCCAGACCTTTACAAGCAGCATGTCGTGTCGTGGGGGCGGGGGCAGGGAGCAAGGACAGAGCCTTGTGGAAGAAGGATCTGGCCTAGAGAAAAGGCACATGGTTACTACTGGGTTCCACGTGGGCTGGTTTCAGCCCCAGGTCTGGGCAGAAAGGCCCCTATTCCTGCTTCCACCCTGCATGCAGCCCACAGGGAGATTTTCTTACCCATCCCGAGCCCCTTCCTCCACTAGCTGGTTCTTCATTCCACCCATCCCCGTTCCTCTCTCCCCTGCTCGGCATGAAGGACACGAAGTCAGAGCAGGTCACAAAGCAAAAACCAGCCACGAGCAAACGTCTCTGAGGTTTCACAGCAGAATAGAGCCACAGATCGTGTGTGGTGAAACACGCCTAATCCAGGCTCTGCGGACAGCCCCCACTGTCCCCCAGCCTCTCCAGTTCCAGGCCCCTCGCTCTCACACAGGAGCCAGGCAGCATTTCTGTCTCCCACCACCTCCCCAGGGGGCTGGCTGTGGCCCCGGCATCCATCCTGGATTGCTGGGGTCTGGCCGTGGGGGTGGGGTGCATGTGTATACAACAGAGGAAAGATGGGGAGAAGAGAACCGTGTCCCCTCCTCTCTCCATTAGATGCCTACTGGGACAGAGGCAAGGCCTCCCTTGCCGCAGCACTTCCCTTCTCAAGGCGTGTCTGTGTCACCCCGCTCCTGATACAGCTGGGGAAACTGAGGATAAGCCACTCACTCAAGTCACACAACAAGTCTGTGGGAATAGAAGCCAGGAGTCCTGACTTCCATCCCCCCTCCCTCGCTGCTCTAACTGACTAGCCCCCACTCCCCTCCCAGAGCCAGGGCAAGAACCCAGGAGTCCTGGCTTCCAGCTCCCTCTGATCTAACCACAAAACACAATTATCCCTCTCTGAGCCAGGAATAGCGCTCAGGAGCCCTGAGCCCCAACCCCCAGCTCTAACCCACTAGCCCCTACTCTCCTCCCAGAGGCTGGGATAGAACCCAGAAATCCTGGCTCGCAGCCCCCCCTCGACCCACTAGCCCCCACTCTCCTCCCAGAGCGGGGGATGGAACCCAGGAGTTCTGGCTCCCAGCCCCCCCCCACTAGCCCCCACTGTCCTCCCAGAGCCTTCCCCTTGTGCCCCAGAGGATGGCCCCAGGCCCCCCGCTTTCCCAGGCCCCCACACCGAGGCAAGGCACTGTCCCAAGCACGCCCAGGCGACCCCCGCCCGTCCGGGGCCGCGGGACTGGGGGCAGGGGGCTGCTCGCTTCCAGCGGGGGAACTTGCCCCATTGTTCGTAGCCGCCCCGCCAGCCGCCCGGCAGCCGCGACCCGCTCGCCCCGGAGAACTCACGCCCGGGGATCCGGATCCGGGCTCTCCCCGCTTCCCCCCGGCGGGGGGGGGGTGTTTCCACGAGCCTCCGCTCCTGGGTCCTCCGCACCCCACGGCGAGGGGCGCTTGGGGCCGCGGCTGCCTCGGCTCCGGCTGGGGCGGGCTGGCTGCTAAGCCCCGGAGCCTGCCAACTTCTGCCGCCCAGCGGCGCCGGGGGGCGGCCGGGCTCCTACCTGGGCGGCGATCACGGCGTGCGCGGAGCCGGGATTGGCGGCCCGGCCCTTCGGGGGAAGCGGCCCCGCGCGGCGCGCACAGCCCGGGCCCCCCTCGCCAGCCGGCGGGGCCGGGGGCTGCTCGGAGCGCGCCCGCTCCGCTTCCCCAGCCCCCGAGCCCAGCCGCTCCTGCCCGCCCGCCCTTGGCCCAAACTTCCCGGCTGCAGCGCAAGCCCCGGGGCCAGGGGCTTCTCCTACCCTGAGCGCGGGTCCGGGGGCTGCCGGCGCCCCTGCCGCGCTGTGGGTGCTTCGGGATCTGCCCCCACTGCGCGCCTCCCGCTCCGGCCCTCGCCCACCTCCCTCCAGCGCCCACCTCCCCGGCTTCCCCCGGTGTTGGCCACGTCACAGCTGATCAGCCCGGCCTGGGGCGGCCTCGCCCCCCACCCCGAGGGGTTTAACGTCTCTGGCGGGGGAACGCCGCGCCCCAGCGGATCCAAAGTTTCGGGGCATGTTCTGGACATACAGCAGGGGAATCCGGGGGGAGGGTCGGAAACCCGCAAGAGGGCAAATGGGGAACACAGGGGGAGCCCCCCCACGCATATGTCTAGCACCCCCACAGCTAGCTCCTTCCCTCTGAACAAACCCCCCTGCTCTTCCGCCCAGCGTTGACACCTTGAAGGAGAGAACAGGGCATGGGAACCGGCAGACTGCCCCAGCACCGGGTGACAATAGGGGACCCTGGCAGGAGGGATGGGGGAAGCCGTTGGTGTGTGTGTGGGGGGGACAATCGGGGGCCCTGCTATGGGAGGAGGGGGAATGGGGGCACACACACAATCCCTGGCACCAGAGAGATAGGAGGGGTTGCAGGGCATCCCTGAAATAGAAGGGTAGGGGAGAGACATACACAGTGGGGGAATGGAGGGAGCTGTGGGTGCTGAGCTCCCCCCCGACAGAGCCCAGCTGTATCGCGCTGGGCACATCCCTGCCAGCCTGGGTCCTGGTGAACCTCTCGTCTTAGCTATTGCCCTTTGCTCGCCCCCCCGGTCTACGGAGCCACCATGCAGTATCTGGTATGCCAGGGAGTGCACGATTCCTACAGGAGGTGGGGGAAGGGATGTGCTGGGGGGTCCCGGGAATGGGGTGTGTTGGGGGGGCAGTAGGTACTAAGCAGGACATGTGCTTGGCTAACATGGCGACAAAGCCCCCATAGGCCTGGTGTAACGAGCGTGACAATACAAGGAGCTAATGAGGAAGTGGGGGTAATAGAGAGGAAACAATGTCCAATCCCCCATTAGCTCAGACGTCACCCACATACTCACGTGGTGATGCACAGGAGTAGGTCTGTCCCATGCTGGGCTGCCAGGAGGGCACAGGAGGCCAGGTAACAAGTGCAGCTCCCTGCAATGGCCTGGGTGATCTGAGTGTGGACACAGGTTCGGTGGGTCCGTGGCAGGAGGAAGCGTTCACCACATCATTTGTTTGAATGCAAATAGTGAGGGGCTGAGGGGCTCAGGGATTGGGAACAGACTGAAAGGCCTTTCACATCAGGCTAAGGGCACTCACGCCTATCGGTTGTTCCCAACTGGTGACTGTTGGGTGCAATGAGCTGTTGGGGTCTCCGCCCAGTTTCATATCACAGATAAACTACAGCCCAGCTGGTACTGATTGGGGAGCACAGGAGCTAAGGGGTGAATGGAGGCTGCACTCCTCTCTCACTCACACAGAGTGAACACTGGCAGGGGGCAGCGCGTGGTGAAAGCTCGGCCTGTGGCTGCCCAGGGCTCGGGGACATCAGACTCCCGAGAATCAGGCACCTTCCCCCTGCACCAAATTATTCAAGTCGAAAAGCAGGATAATTGAAAAAGTCCATTTGTTGGCGTAACGTGTTTGTAAAGTACGGGCCACGTCCTCGCTCACAGGGAGCCACTTGGAGGACAAAAGCCTACTACTGCTACGTTTTAATGGAGTTACCCCGATGGCTCAGGTGGTAGTAGGAACCTGTGCTTCCTGGTGGAAAGTCCCAGGGTCAAACCCTGCTGATGATCCCAGATGGGGAGTGTAGCAAGGCTGCTATGTGAACGGGAACATCCCCAGCTCTCAGATGCTTGGGAGGGGCTGGAGACTGGTAGCTAAGATGTGCATTGAGCAGCAGAAGCTGCCACCCTAGCCAGCTGTGCATGCAGCCTCCACTTACCGGGCTGTGAGTGAAAAGGCCCAAGAGACCCCAGGCAGAGCCCTTTGCCACTGTCACAAGAGGCTGGGGGGCTCCTAGGAGCTGGGAAATGCTCGTATGGAAAATGTCACCTGACTGTGGAGAGCCTTTGGCAGGGTGCAGGTACAATTAGAAAAGCCGGCCTTGGCAGCTGGTAGCAATCTGCAGCGAGAGGCCAATCCAGGAAGAGCCTCTGGAGTGGGAAGAAAAGCCCGTTGTTGAAGAAAAGAGGGAGGTTTTCGAAGCCAGTACTGTTCTGCCCTGCAGTTAGCTGGGTCAGCGGTGCACGCTCAACCCCAGGGGAAGGGAGCTGGAAGCCGGAAGCCAGATCCACGCGAGGAACGGACCCGCGGCAGCAGAACCCAAACAACCCGAGCGCTCCCAGGCCCAGACGGATGAGCCCCTGCGGAACAGGTGGAAGGTGGGGCGGGCTGGGCCGGGGAAATCCAGGGAGTCAAGGCTCAGCCATGGTAGGCTGCACGGTCAGATGCCCACTGCTGCACGGGATGTGGTAAACCATCACTGCTGCTATTTCGGGAGAGTGAGGCATGAGGGTGAAGGATTCAGCTGAAATTTCAACCCTACTATGGCAGTTTCTGCTTTCCCCCAGGGTTAGAAAATGGCAACGTGCACACACACCCACCCACCCACGTAATCCCTTTAAATTGAGACCATTTGGCCAAGCAGAAAGTTGTGCTCAGTTCTCCTTGAAATCCCTTAATCTTCAACGCTGTATTAGATTTCAAAATACGACTCGCTCTCCCGTGGTGCGCTTTGGTTTGGTTTGGTTTTAAACAAGGTTTTGCTTTTAAACAGGGCTTGAAATGCCTTTGCCTCCCACAGCTGCCAGGACTCTGGTTACAGACTGGCTAAAGCAGGCGAGAAAGCAGAAACTGGAATCCAACTATGCCCCCAGCTATGCCCCCATGAAAGCCATCTAGGAATTCACATGCGTCCACAGGTACGGCAGAGTAGGACGAGTGGTGAGAGCCAGGGGAGAACTGGGCTCGATTCCCAGCGGCGCTAGATGTCCTACAGGATCTTGGGGAAGGCCTCTCTTGGCCTCAGTTTCCACATCTATAAATGGGGGGATACTCCCCTACTTCACTGGGGCAGGGGGACTGGGAGGATCAGTCCATTCATGAACGCAGGGTACTCAGACACTAGAGGATGGGAGCAGGGCATGGAGATGCCAATCAATAAATAAGGTGAATCAAGCCGTTATGCCAGCGGCCGTGAGAATCAGCAGAGATGGGTATAGCCAACAGCCCTGCCCATCCCGAGCTCGGCCACTCATGGTGTCAGGGGCTTTGCTGTTGGTGCAGGGCAGGCCCAGACCAGACCAGGGTGCGGAGGGGGTGGAGAATCCAGGAGCGTGTCCCCCACAATAGCTGGAGCCCCCAGGACCTGCACTTGTCACTGCCCAGCACAGGGTGGGGCTGGATTTGGGGAACGGCAGAACCTGCCCCTGAACAGGGACCCCTGAGTCATGGGGGGAGGCTGCTGCCCTCAGCTGGTGGGGCAGTCCCCATGGGGCTGCTTGTGTGTGGATCGGGGGGCTGGGGGAAAGGGAAGACTGAGAGCGTTTGTGGGGAGAGCGAGGGAATCCATCCATCCCACCAAATAACCTTGCTGGGGCCCCGCATGTCCAGCCCTGGCCTAGGGAGCCAGCCCAGGGGTGGCAGGCGGCTGGGTAGCCGTATCTCCTCCCCCAAACTGAACTCCCTCCTCCCTGCCCTGGCAGCTTGGTGCGGCCCCATGCTGCCCTTGGCGCTGAGTGAGGCTTTTGCCCAGTCTGGCGGCTGCCGCCTCCGCAGAAGGGTTTTGTCCTTGGCTGACAACAACAAACCGTGCAAGCTGGCCCAGCTCCCCTCTCCTGCCGGCCATAAGTGCTGACCCATCAGTCCGGCCCCGGCTAGTGCCACACGCGGCTTCCTGAAGGCTGTTTCCTTCCGCAGCCCAGAGCCTGGGTTTATTTTGCCAGAGGCTGACTCAGCCCTGCACCTGACCCTTGGCCCGCTGGCACCAGCTCCCCCCGGCCTGTAAATTCTGGCCAGGGCTGTGTGTGGCAGCACTCTGCCTCCTCTCGCCGATGAGAGCGGACAGAGGGCTGTCGAGAGGGGCTGAGCGCCGAGCCAGGCTGTGCACCGAGAGATCAACCTGCGGCCAAAGTCTAACAGCCCCTACCCACTGGACAAAGGTCGAGCCGTACATGGTGCCGCTGCTCAGAGACCGCACCTAGGCTCCTCCGTGCCTTCCTCCTGCTGCTATCGCAGGGGAGGCTTCACACCGCATCTCTGGAAATTCACAACCTTCCTAACATGCAGGCCGCCATTTGTATAGGTCCTACAGAAACTGTCACCGGATTCCTCCTGCTGAGCCCAGGCATCTGCTGGTCGGTGCTGACATCGCCAGCCATGATAATACACAAAGAGATGCAAATAAATCGGAGCTATTGCCTAGCACCACGGGCTCTGGTTGGTTGCAGGATCGGGCCCTAATAAGGAAATAATTTCCTTTCACTCTGCTAAGAAGGAGAGAGAAAAGATTCACTGCTAAGTCAAAATTGGTTGTTGGATTTCTTTGCAGGCTAAACTTTCCTCTCTAGTCATGCTGGTTTTGGTTTGTATCTAGCATAGAAAATCAGCCAGCATATTCAGGGTTCCTGGCTCTCATCGGCTTGAGTCACCACTCCATTGTTATTTGAGCGATTCCTTTGTTTGTTTTAAGTAAGCAGAAAGACTCACCTTCAGGGGAAGGTTATGACACTTTACTTTGAAGGATGAGCG